CCAGTGTTACTACAGGAGGAAACCTAAACTAAACTAACTTTATTTATACTGGATAACTCTATCAGTTCTAAACTGTTCTTCCTAGAGGTCCAGTAAGGGTCATCCCTTATTGATCCAGTGTTACTACAGGAGGAAACGGGAGTGCCTGAAGAAAACGTGCCTTGTATACAGTCATGCAAACTGGCCATTAACTGACTTACATGATGAGCTAAGCGAAGAAGCATCAAAAGTTTTAAACCTTACCTGCAGGGGGTTCAGGAGTGCAAGCTAAAGAAAAAAAGACAAAAAGAGAAATAACAGACAAGCTAAATCATCTCAAACGTGGAATAATCCGTAATAAGTTGCCGTCGTTTGTGTTTGAACTGAAAATGATAAAAGTTAATAAGCAGCACAAACCAAGATAGCTTAGAAAGAGCAGTTTACCGTTGAATGGATCCACTTAACAATAGGGTAAATTATATACAATCACCGTTTCGGCACATTCAAGATATATGGCTAGTAAAAAAAAGTCGAACAACTCCTTTGCTTACCTTCTAGAGACAATAACAAATTAGCAAGGAAAAAAAATTCTATCCATGCGAAGTGGAACTGCATTTCTCGTGTGGAATCTTTTAAGCTTTAAACTGAAGAAAATGCCAATAATGATATATTAGAAGTTGTGCAATATTTTAGAAGTACTAATTAAGCATTGAAAGTTGAGGAAACTCTCATGCGAACTCTCATGCAAACTCTCGCTTGTCTAATCTCATTTACTCCGATGCCTTTTGACACAAGCCGTAGCAGAAAATGTTATTTAGGTCCACTAAAATAAACCTTTCACTTGCCTTATAAACAACGGACATCCAAACGTTGACCAAAGGACCTTTTGAAATTTCAGCAATTAAAAGACACAGGTGTTTACAACAGTAAGTATAATAACTCTGGATAATTGAAGAAATAAAACATATATCATAATGTTTACTCATAAAATATTTAAGGACTCACATTACTTAAAGAAGATTAATACTTTAGGGGGACAATTTTAATAAAAGTAACTAAAATTATTCACCATGTATGTTTTTTAGCTTTACGTGGAATTATCATTTTTCTAACGCGCGTCCAAGCATATGACAGATCCCAAAGCAAACATATTTATTTTACTAGAAAACCGATGACTTTGAGCAATCGGAAAGAAATGCCAATTGCTAAATATTTATTTTAGAAAAACAATTAATTAAGGCAAATGTCTGATACAGTTGAAAGTAAAAAACCGCGGCTTCGGTGTGTGATGCAAATATTTGAAAAGTAAGTGGCGTGTGCTAATCATTGCTTGCAGCTGAGAGCTGGGCTGATTTGCGAAGGATGGAACTGAACCTGACCAAGTCGAAGGCTTTCCAAGGGCGCCTCTGACACCCTGTTAAAACACACCAAACTTCGATGTTTTGCCGTATACATCTGGCAAAATCTAGCCGAAAGCCCTTCGCTAAATTGTTCAAGTTTGCTTTTACTTTTCAGCATCGTACACAGAAGACTGCAAATTGTACTCTTCGGCAATCTTCGCTAACAACACGGCCACTGTTCAAGATTCTATCACTAAAAATAAAACAGGCATGCAAAACAGTCTTAATACTGATTACCTTCTTGACTAATGGCGATGCGTTAAGCTGCTGGAACAATTCGTCACAAAATAGTAATTGCTGTTCGTGCAGAAAATAGTCTCAAATATTAAAATATTCATAAGCAATAACGTAAAGCCGGAATTGTTTGACACTAATATTGCGACTTACTTGGGTTGTTTTATTAATATATTTGATTAAATAGTTCGTTACATAACCGTGGTTACGTGCAGACGAGAAGTTATTGGTTTACGGACGGGCGAAATTAGGTTAAAGGGGCTCTGTTGCGCAAAATTTTAAAGCTAAGGCTTAGTCTTTGAATGAGTCCTTTTCCACATTGTCTATGAAGGACTGTTTTCAATTAATTCGCGGTACTAGCTTCCAGAGTCAAGAAACGATTACGCCTTATTGGTATAGTAGTACGAAATAAACGGCGCAAAAGAACCCATGCTATGTAGAGCAATTGGCATTGCTTATTTATTAAATTCAATAAATTGGAGTGATGAGAATTTAGTCTCGCGCTGTGATCTTAATTAGTCCAAATATAAGGGGCCAGATAATGTTTTCTACTTGTGCATTTTCCAATATTTAAAAAAAAAACATGTACGTATAAACGAATACGAGGCATTAAAATTGCATGGCAAACTCATTAATAATTCATGAGGAAAACCAAATGAATCAGGCCCCAGTATCGTTGCCTAATTGATATCACGGTATAAATGCCCAGAAATTATCGCAATCAATTTCTTTATACTAATTCATTTGAGAACTAACAGAATATTGCATGAATATAATACAAAACATAATCCGAAGATAAGCATCTTGAAACCCAAAATATGAGTCAAACAAGAAAGTGAGTGAGTAATATTTCAATTTTATTACAAAATCATCATCTGATGATGATTTTGTAATAACAAAATCATCATCAGATGATGATTTTGTAATAAAATCGAAATATTACTCACTCACTTTCTTGTTTGACTCATATTTTGGGTTTCAAGATGCTTATCTTCGGATTATGTTTTGTATTATATTTTTTGAAATTGTCGGCTGGTATTGGTTTTTGGTCTAATATTGACATAACTTGTGTTCTTAGATAAGTTCATTTAGGTTCGGTATATTCATCCCCTACATACTTAGAAATGTGGAAAATGCACAGATTATGTTACTCTTCTAAGAGATGTAGCTTGCTAGAAATAAAAATGTTCCCACCATAGGTAAGGCAACAACGAAACGACTGGAAATTGGTTACAAAAACGATATGAACACTATTGCTATGGCAACTATGATGGATGAAAATGCCGATATTATGGCTTTTAACGCAATTTACTCAGAACAATGCCTGATTACCCCAAGTTTTTATTTCCAAAAACATTTTCTTGCAGTACAATAGATCATTATCTCACCTAGACTAAAAAAAATTTGTAGAGTCATATTTTTCAGTTATAAAAAACATGTTTTTTCGAAATAAATATTTTTTTGCTCTAGACAGAATTTTTAAAACTCAGTCAGGTGGCCAGTTGTAAACGTTTCTTGAAATGTAAAGTGAGTGAAAACACCAAAACATCGCAGAATCGTCATTATTGCCATAACAACATTTATGACGTCATTTGTGACTGATTTTATATTCTTAGACTGTTCCTTTATAGAAGTTGTACATTTTTTTTATTTTCGACATGTAACGGTTTGATCTAATTTATGATTTTTGCCTATTTTTAAATTGTTGGGAAAACTTGTGACCTGACATTCCATTTGCTTATTACTATACTGAAAAAGTCATTCGCGAATTTTTTTATCCATAGACATCAATGAATGTTCCCTATCGATTGACAACTGCCATTCTAACGCTTCTTGCACCAACATTGGTGGATCATTTTTCTGCACGTGTGAGAGTGGATATACTGGTAATGGAACTTTTTGCCAAGGTAAATAGACAATGGCCATATTTAACGTCAATTCGACTAAAATCATAGAGTAGAAAAGAAACGTCGACTAAATTCCAAAATAGCAATGAACGTTAACTATTTTTTTTTTTATAAATTTAATGGCATATATTTGTTATGCATCTCTAGAAATAGATGAATGTTCGCTATCTCTTGACGATTGCCATCCAAATTCAAACTGCACCAATATTGATGGATCTTTCCTGTGTATTTGTGATAGTATATTTGGAGGGAACGAAACTCTTTGCCAAGGTAAGCACAAAAGGCCATCATGGCACCTACCTGTAAGAAAAACAAAATTTCAGTCGCGTTTCTTGAAAATCGTAATCTCGCATTGCTATTCACCATGCACTGTCTTATAATATTATAAACTAGAAAATACATGCATGCAGAAACGCTCGCCTTGCTGACAAAACTATTGTATTTTCCGAACATGAAGTATTTAAAGTAGTTGTCATAGTAACACGATATTTTTTAAAGAATATTTTTACAATTTATCCCCTAAAAAGATCACTTTTAATTACAAAATTGTCAATTTCCCAAATATATGTATGTTAAGTATGTTATTTAAATAGTATAGGTAATATAGCATGGTTTCGAGTGCAATTTGGATATAACATGCACGAGTGAGTTTTTCAAAGACCTCAAAATAGCACGAGTCCGAAGGACGAGTGCTATTTGAGGTCTTTGACAAACTCACGAGTGCATGTTTATTCAAATTTCACGTGAAACCATGCTATTACTCATTAATAGTTTACATAAAAATGTTCGAGACAATTGTAGTTTTAACGTACGCGTTTATAGCGGACATTCCACTGGCAAAGTTTTCCTGGCTTTGTTAATATATCACATTATAAACGCTAACAGCTGGAAAATTCCACTCAACCATGTAATTTTTGTTAGTCTTGTTTAAGGTAAATGCTTTTCCATTTAAAAATAAAGATAAAAGCCATAATTTCCACGCGAAGGCAACTTTTACTTTGTGTAGCGCGGCGCCATGTTTGTTTTGTTTTGTTTTGTTTTGTTTTGTTTTGTTTTGTTTTGTTTTGTTTTGTTTTGTTTTGTTTTGAAGCAATCTGTGACCGTTACTTCTTTAAACTAAATTGCTTTAAACTGATTAGTTGATTTAACCATCACAATGTTTTTCTAGCAATCAGATCAGTTTCTTACAGATTTTTGCACTGTGATTACAGAAAATTGCACTGTGATTACAAAAAATTGCATTGTGATTACAGAAAATTGCACTGTGATTACAGAAAATTGCACTGCTGTTTGGGATTAACTCCACTGAAATCAACCAATCACAGTCGAGTTATATCTTTATGTATATTATTATAGGTAACATAAGCTTCGATTTAAGGTAAAATTTAACCACAAACGCTTCGCAGGACGTTCTAAAATGTTCTTTACATAAAAAATAACTTTGAGTTTGAAATAAAATTATTTCAAATTGTCGCATGCGCATAACTTTGCTTCCTTTTTTTAAAAAAAACATTAATATAATAAAAAAGGGTAATCAATAAAAATACACTGAAACTATATGCTGTCTTTTTTCATTATACGCAACGATCTGCCTTTAAAGCAATTTATATAAAGCAAACAATATATTAATATTTAAAGCAAACTTACCTTTTGTTAACGTCGGCGCCTTTGCTCCATTCTTTTAGCCGATTCTTTCGCCTTTTTTCTACAAGAAGCTTTTGAAAGTTTCAAAATCTTGCAAAAATGTAATATATTTGCAAGAAATCATCAAATCAAGAAATGTATGTTATTTTGCTGTCGGTATGCAGTCGTAATAATGCAAATTTTAAATTGGACCAATCAAGACCAATTGGACCAATGTTCGTTATTCATGATAGTCCACTGTTTTATGAGATCAGTGAAGATGACCACTCACCGAACCACGTACGGTCACCCACGCCCGCGATCATTGATGAACTTTAGACTTCGCGAATGCTTTCGTTTCCCCGGGGGTAAATAGCCGGGCCGAATTAATACCCTCGCACGGCGCTCTCGGGGCTTTCTGTACTTCAGTATAGATATATCGCTGAAAGTGTTTCCTTATTTCGGCAACAATTTTTTTCTTTCTACAAAGCCGACCTGTGAAAATGTCCAGTGAAAATTGCAAGACCTGTAACCAGTTTCAGAAAATGTAACGATATAACTTCTTGTAGCAGAAATCGACCTTTTGCCAGTCATTCCGGTTTGAGGTGTGCATCGTATTGAGCTACATAGTAGTAATTCGAAGATTGATTGATTATTAAAATCTCAATCCAATACCATCCGATCCGAAAAACTTTAATCCGAATCCATTCGGATCCAATCCGAAAGCAACGAATCATGCCGGCTTGATCCGATCCAACAAAATACGAATAAAAATTTTGCGCTTTACAACGAGTTTGATATTTTGATTTCAATTAATCTTTTTATTTCCTATTGGCTCTTTTCACGACGCAACACAC